ATACTTCTTGTCATTGACAGCATCGCTAACATAAACTAATTTTTTAGTCTCAACTTTTGTAAATTAGATGTTGGTCCAACTTACTCAGGACACTCCACAGTGTTCTGTGCTTGGACCTTTACTATTTAGTGTTTACATGCTGCCTCTTTGTAAACCATCATGAACTTTGGTTTCACAACCCTGCTGTTGACACTCAGATTTACTGTAAAATAAAAACAGTGTGTAAAAAATAAAACAGTATGAAAATATGATATAAAAGTATTTAGCAATAATTGTTACTGTAATGTCTGTTGGATGTAACTATTGCTTATTTGTAGGTTACATATTTCAATTCTTTTCATTTCATTCTATTTCTATGCAAATTAAGAGCACCTAACTAGCCCTTAAGTAAGCAAGGAGACAGCAGGACAGAATCACATTACAGGGACGATGTGTAAGAATCTTCTCATTTAAATGACTTTTTATTTCTCTGTGCTTCATGGGCAAGCACTACATTTAGACCTTCTACCACGTCACTTATAATGAAAATCAGTTGTACAAGAAAAATTATTTGAGACTGCCTGAATGATCCAGAAGTGACCTTGGTCTTAGATTGCTGATTTGATTTTCAGAGAGCCATAACATTAGAACCTGAAAGCAACCACTGGAACCATTATAGACTTACTTGTGATAACCTATAAATGCGGTTCTGGGAACCTTAATGAATACTTTTAGACATTGTTCCTTCTCATAAACTATTATTTATCTCTATATGTTGTTGCTTTCTTTCTATGAATGCAGAACATAATATGCTGCAGTTTGGGTTAAAACATACCAAGCAACAATTTGATTGTTTCCTTGCTTGAGGCAAATCCCAGGTGTGAAATTGCAAAACCTCATCATTTATTTATTCAGCATTTCTTTTGTTCAATGAGGTCCAATTTAAGATAGTTTAGGCGGAGAGACTTCATATGCCTCCGATCATTAGATGGACTTTAGGCACCAGACTAAATATTTATCCTAGAGATTTGCTGAATAGTTACAGTTTTAAAAGTTTCTGCTTCTGAAGAATATTGCACGGAGAGATGTTTTTGAAAGTTGTACTCTCTGACCATGGTGGCATGTGTTTCTTGGTCAGTTGTTACCCGAATATAATGTCATTGTTGAGGTTTCCTTAAGTTTTTTCTTTCTTTTTTGTATCCAATGACTAATATCAGGGTTCTCATATTCTGTGTTTTTATATGAAAGTATACATCTGTTGCATGCTGGTTCTGCCCTGAGAGATAAAAAGTATTGAATTCATACTTTCAGAATACATCTTTTCATTATCCTGGATTGGTGCAGAAAAAAATCAGTAAAGATCAGAAGATCAGTAAAATATTGTTGTATAGTTGAAAGTTTTTGAGAAACCCCTTTCAATACTTTGTGATTTGATCAAGCCAATGGTGATTACTGCACAATATAAATATTGCTTCCTACTTAATATTAAAATTTACATTGAATTATTCTGCACTACTATCCATTTACCGTTCCATTCATTTATTATTAGAAAGCTGGTTATCTTTTTGAAGGTTATGGTCATTTGGAGTCCATCCCAGAAGCACAGGGCACAAGCTGGTAATTCGTGGAAACTTTTTCCAAAAAGGTGTAACTAAATCAGCCAGTTTTAAGAGAGCATTTCAGGATGATAGAGTAAAGGGTATTATTCAAGCTGTTGTTCAGAGAAAAAAGCCATTATGAAAATTATTGTCCCAAGACTCATTACTATTAGCATTTCACACATTACACAATTGAGTGCTTGACATTATGAATTCAAGTTCTCAGTGAATTGTTGTTTGGAAACGCCTTTCTAGTTTTATATCCAATAATAGTGTTTTGAAGGGTTTCTCATTTAAAAAAAAAAACTATCTCTCCTTAAATCCCCATCATGAACCGAATTCTTTTTTCTGTTTTACACTGGAGGAAGAGAACAGTCAAAACATTTATTTGATGTAGATCCTTTGAAACAGAGGGAGTTCTGGTGTAACAGAGTTATAGCTGGAGTATATTAAGCAGATTTTTACCCTAGTTGTTATTTGGGTAGCTTTTCTTTAGTGCCTTAATGCAAGTATGCAAATAATTGACAAGGCATCGACAAAATAATCCCAGTAGTCTTCAGAATCAGCAATGAAACTTAAACCAGAGGACATAACTGGAATATATGAATGTGCATTTAAAACTGAGAATAGTAGGCTCTTCTTTCTGTAAAGGAAGGAATTTACTTGACACTACCAGCTATATTGCTTAAGCCTATACCCTCACTTATTCAATAAGATCCTCTTTTCAGTTGGCTGCTAAACACCTAGTGCTCTAGATGGGCCAAATAACCTCTTCTCATTTGTAACAGTTTTTTTTTATTTCAGGTATGGTTTTCTTTTGTGTATTTAGATTTTTTTTTTTCATTCATAGAGGTTTATTGGTTCATTTGGCTTTCATTGCAGTGTAATAGCCCAAGGACAACTGTATTTCTAACATATTATTTTTGAAGCCGTTAACAACCAATTATCTGTGCCATTTCTGAAAGTTAATAATAGATTAAGGTGATTTAGTACTATAGACATTATGTTTTCTCCCTGGACAGCTAGATTTTATTCAAAAATCCATTCTAAAGTTTGAATTTTTTTTTTACTGTGAACTGAAATTTCAGGTGTTTTTAGGGAAGAACTGTTTGGAAGTGAAGGTTTTAACATAATAGTCAAATCCTGTACTGTATACTAAATAAATGAAAAAAATGCTAACATTGCAAGAAAGAAGATTGGTCTTATTTAAAACTAGGAAGTGCTTTGTGAAAACAACAATGAATTACCAGCATCCCTTTTTTGGTGCACTATAGCAATTTATTTGATAATATTTTCTAAAAAATGTTTTCCAAAGAGGGAAGCTGGAGCAGTATTTTTATCAGTTCTGAGAATTAGTTATTTACTAAAATTAAATTTATCATCTCTTATTAAAGGATTAGATGATTAAAGCAGAGACAGATGTCTGTAAAATTCTGTTTAAAATGTTGTTGATTTTTCATAAGAGGAATATGTTCCTTTTTTGTTTCAGCTCTGAGAACTACAGAAAAGACTATTTTTATAACTACACATTTCATGACACACATAATATACTGTATGTGTAGATATTGAGCCATAACTAAAAATAGAAAAGCAACTAACTTCTTATATGCCATTGTACATGTTAATTTATGTTAATTTATCTTTTCCAGTAGTTAAGATGTATGCCATATTATTGATGTGATCAAAAAGAATAACAGCAGATCTGAACAAGTGATGAAATGAATTTAAAGTTGTGTGACGGTGTCAGAAAGACAGATTAACAGGTGGGAGAACAGATTTCTGTCAGTTTCTTAAATAATGTTATCTCAACGGGAACAAAGGGCATTAGGTAAGTACTGTAAGTGACTGCTGGCTCACATGTGCTGTTTATCTTTTTACAGAATCTCAAGATATAAATAATGAAAACACAAACACAAAATGTTGGATCTTAAAAGAAATTTAGAATGAGAACCAAAATGTGCAGAATTTACTTTCCTAATTTTCAATTTCACACAATACTGCCTGACTGAAGAATAAATACATTCTCTTTTTAAATTTCTGCAAAGTATTCTACATGTGAGATGATATTGCCAGTCAGCCAAATTCTGTTGGAAGCCTTGTTGTGTCTCAGTATGATATTTCTGAAAGTGTGTGTTTTTATTGACTAGTGTTGATGTTCCAATATGGTGAAGAGTGATTTGATTATGATTTTATTCTGATATTCTGGCAAGGGGATCCTGAACAATTGTACTCTGGGGATTAATGAAACTAAGAAAGTGTGTGTACTTGTTCAATGCATTTAGAAAATGAAAAAATAAAATGCTTTTCTTAATTTTATTGCATCACATCATGAACAGGTAATGACTTTAAAAATATGCACTGTTAAAAAATCTTTGATAGTCTGCACAGCTGTGCATAATTAGATAGAATAATGGATTTTTAACTTGATGAATGACATTGTACTGTACTTAAAGAATCACCCTCCTTTAATGAAAGAAGCAGACTGGTCTGGAACGATCTTAACTCACTGACTACAACTGTATAAAAGTTCAAAACAAATGACAAAACTAAACAGATGATTGGCTCAATTGATACAGGCATACAGTAGGTACTCTAGACATTACTATTTTAAGACTAACCTACTGTATTAGTCTCATTTAAAAGACCAGACAAGTCTTAAGCTGCATTGGCACCTACAGGTACGTGCTTAAATTTGTGCCATTAAGAGTCACATCACTATTCCAGTTGTGTTAACTCTCTTAAAGACAATGTGGAGCCAAACAGGGTGAATGTCTCTCAAATATGTCTAAGAAGAAGGTGCACTGTCCTAATTCTTCCTTGTGTTGGCACAGGGTCATAATATTAAGCCAGGTAGATTAACAAGATATCCAAAATATCAATAAATACATGTTTAATGTTGAACCGATGAAGTTTTGGATGCTTTGGGCCTTATATTCAAAATACTCTCAAAATACAGGAACATAAATCCCTGTTGTGTTTTAAATATAAAGCTCAATATTTGTAAAAGCAAATAATGTTCTCATTTGTTTCTGAAATGTTGGGTGATGATATTATATTGTAACAATACAGCAGTGTCAAATGAAATTAGCAATTTAGAAGTTTATTTCTTGTGACAAAATAAATATTGTACCTCATATTATTTTAGATATAGTGTGAACTGCAATTATTAAAGACTATGATGAATTTACACACTGCATGGTATTTCTTTTCTACACAAATCAATATGTAAGAATCTTTGAATTGCCAGGATATACAATTCTTTTAGAAAGGCTGCTATCGCTACATCCTAGATGTGATAATAAGGTTGGGGTTAAAAGTAATATTCACTTGGTAGGATAAATATAAGTCTTTTACCATTATTGCATCATTAATCTATTCTCTTTTCTCTCTTTCCTCCTTATCTCTCTACAATGCCTAAAATAGAAGTGGAACAAAAAGGTAATTAAATACCTTTCAAACTACATACTTATTTTTCTATGTGGTTAAGTTACTTGAGCGCTTTATCAGATAATGGACTGAGTTCCTTATTAGTCCTGTCACGCCTATTTGTTTTTAATGTCTTTTTCTCTTTTGCTGCTGAGTATGCACTATTCTCTACTCTTGTCAGTGGTCACAATGAGCTTAAGGCACTTTATTTCAGTGTGGCAGACAGCAGGATAACTGTGTCTTACAAAAGAGAACAAATTGTTGTAATAAAAAAACATAACAATTGAACTAGAGTGGTGTCTTGCTGTCTCATAGGTCTGTATACTGTAGATCTGGATCTGACCGCATGCATTTATTGTTCTGTCTAATTATATTGGAGTTTGCAGTTGGGAAATACAAACCTTGTATGGATACATGCGTTGCGTCATGTACACAATATTACCAAATACTGTGTATGATTTTTTTAAAAATATATAATAACCACGTGTTGACTTTTCTGTGAAGAATGGTATCATTTCAGCCTTCCCTAGGAGAAGTGTTTATTGTTGTTATCAGAATAAAACATAGATTTTACATTTAGATCTTGCTTTTATCTAAATCAGTGTATTTTTAAAACTATTGATGAACCATGAAAAATAACTATAATGCAAAAGTAGAGCAGAATAAACAAAAAGATGTACTGTTATCTGATGTAATTTGATTTATTTAGAGCTCATAAATTGTTATGTTCCTCTTGAACATATCTAACTAGACACAACATTATACAGACAGCATGAGGTAATCAAATAGAACCATCATCTGATCCACTGGCAAAGGACAATTTGAACAATGAAATTAGCTTTTGACAAATGCTTCATATGTACTGTGCATTTTTATGCATTTCTATATTCGTAGGCATGCATACCATTTCTGCAATAAGATAAAATGCCTAAGCTACTTGACTCTGAATTATTTTGAAATTATTTTATGACCTTCTCTGACAAAGTCAAAATGCACAAAAACACTGGGTTTGATACTATATTTTAAATTTAAGACTACAGACTACATATTCTGTCAGAAAGATAAGACATGGTACCATGGTCTGTATCTGAATGCTGAAAAATATTCCTTCCATATAGTTATAAATATAAATAACAATACATGGAGTTGATTAAACCCCCACAAATGTATGCATTTAATTGCCATTTTTAGCAAATCTAGACAAACAGTATTTAAACTAATCAATAACAGTTATTGAGAGTGTCATTACAGTTACATTGGTGCTTTCTAACTTAAGAGAACTACATTTCACCATGCACATATACAATGTGGCTATATGTGATAGTAATATTAATGTGGTAGTATTCAAATCAGAATTCCATTCCAATGTCACACAAACAATCTGATCACTCACACTGGCAATTGCGTCTTTATTTCCTCATCATTATTCCTGTGAATAATGCACCCAGTAGCAAAAGTGCTAATTGAACCATTTTCTGTAAATTAAGCTGTCCTCTTATGAATTTATGAAGCACATTGCCATCTTTTTTTGCTTCTCTTTATTCTGGTTTTCGTTCTAATAATCATTTCTGTCATTTTCTCCTCCACACATGTTTGGATAGAATTCTATACCATCTGTTTCTTCAAAAGTGCCTGTCATTTTAGTCACATCCCTCTACTTTAAAAGACTTTCAAAGTGCTTGCTTTCAGTGTTACTGTTGAGTCAAGATTGATATAGTTGAAGCAAGTCAACAGGACCTCTCTAGGTATTATTTATGTGGTAGTAAACTACGTGTTTAATCTTAAAGGATTACAGAACACTAATGTTTCCTACCAACATTATTATTATTTACTTCACCTGTCTGACGTGATACACGTTCCACTGCTCTCTAAATACTGTATATATATATTCCCAGCAGAATCAAAATAGCTTTCATATTTTTATTGAAGTTACCAGAACCTTAAATCACATGGGGATGGAAGACAATTGCATTTTTCATTTAATTTCTTCCCTGTATCAGGTCAGACAGAAGAAATGCCTTCCTCTACTGCATCTCTGATGTGATGCTTTGCACTTTGAATTCCTCAGCAAGTAAACTGATGCTGGCCTTTTCCTAGCCTTTTACTTGTTAATTTGTCATCATTCCTCTATTTTTTTTTAATTATTAGTCATATAAGTTACAGTGTATGATAAATATAAAATGTTCCAGTGAACACTCAATAATGATCAGTAATAAATCTCATTATCTAAGTAGTAAACATCTGAAAATACATTAAGTAACACATTTGTTATAAAAATATGTTTTTCTGCAGTCCTTTGAGGTATTGACTTTTTTGCCTGAAAATAGTTTGTCTTTAAGTAGATTGTTTACTACATCTGAAATCTCTAAGATTTCCACTCCATAGATGAGTTCTACATTAGTCTTTGTAGAATTTATCCAGCTGAGAATTTAAAATGAAACATTTAAAATGATTTCCCTAAACATACAGCAATTTGTATTTTGATCCCCCAAAGAGATTTTTTAATTTAAACTTTTGCAGTATGAATCATCATGAGTTCCAAGCCACCGTTAATTTTGAATTTATATACTGTACAGTATAGATATCACAGAAATACACAGCGCAGTTTCATTTTTTAATGTATTCACAGAATCAAGGGAAAAAAATGGACTAATCTTTTTAAAAAATCCTCAAGATTACTGTAAGAACTCTATTGGAAAAAAAGCACTTTAATTTGTGGTTTGTAGCTTTAAACTTGTTCTTTGATAAGAAAGATGAGATGAAATGTAGACTGTAAAATTAAATAATTTCTCACTTTAGTGCTCTTAGAGCTGGAGAAAACATAATGCAATCTAATAATAGTGAAAGCTGTGATTAGACAGTATAGTTCTGAAGCTGCATGTAGTGCTTCTACACACTATTGTAATCATCCTTTCAAAGTTTCCCATCACTACTTAATAAAATGTGTTGTAATTTATACCTACAGTATACAGATGGGATATGTTGTTTATTGCCCTTATGACCTTACTTACAATAAAATATTTGAAAGGTTGTATTTGAAAGCCATGCTCTTCTGACAGCTGAAATATAATCATTGCCTCCATAAAATCAATACCAGTTAATTACGGGTAACAGGTTAATGTGTGAAATGGCATCTAATATATTTTTTATTGTTTCTTTGATTGTTCCTGTTTTTTCCTTATTATTCATTGTGAAAAAAACAACATAATCTACCACAACCTCCAGTTTTTTTTTTACTTAAACAAGACACATTTAAAGTATCTGGACTGCTGAAATACCAATATATTCAGTGTTCATACATAGAACAGTGGGCCAGTTGGCTCCTCAGTTAAGCCTATCTTTGAAGAAAGCTTAACTGTACTTCCTAAAGGTTTTTTTTTATTTTAATGCAAATAAAATGGATCTAAGACTTGAAGTGATGTGTTACCAGATAATTGAACGTTTATCTACTATAGGTTCCAGTGTCTGTTACTTTTTGTTTAATTTTCTACATGATTTATTCATATCTTGTACTGTATCTTACAGAGCCTTTACATCCTTTAAAAATTCACAATTGAGATAACTTGAAAGGTTAATGTCAATGTCTGTTTTCCTATGGAAAACATATTTTCCCTCAACATCCAGATCCTAATAAAATTAGAAAAAAAGTAGATCTCTATATTGTGTATTCCATTATCATAGCATTTGCAGCATGTTTTCAGACTTTGGATGTATAGTACTCTCATTTGTTTTTGATACTTTTTTTTTCATTCATAAATGTACATAAAGGCAAAAAATACCATCAGTAAACAGTACAGTAATGGAAAAAACAAGACTTTTCCCTATTTGCAGACTGCACAAAATCAAAATAAAAGCAATTTAACTTTCCTGTGCAAATAATGATAGATGCACAGTTAGTTTGTTAAAACATGAGTCATCATCATAAGACATGTCAGTGAGATTTCAACCATGAAAGAATAATGTGTAATGTGCTTTCAAAAACTTCATATTACTTTTGATTTCCCAAAGAAAATTAACCTTTTCCCTTCATTATTTCTTGTTTACCTCAACTCTTTCAGTTTTCCTGTGTCCTGGCTTGCTGAGGGGGGTATATCAGAGTGAGCACCTTTTTGAATCAGACCACCAGTCAGGAGCTTGGTGTAAGGACCCCCTCCAGGCATCCGACAAGATCTACTATATGCCCTGGACACCCTACAGGACAGACACACTTACAGAATATTCTTCCAAGGAAGACTTTATTGCAGGAAGGCCTACCACAACATACAAGCTTCCACATCGTGTGGATGGAACAGGCTTTGTGGTCTACGATGGTGCCCTCTTCTTCAACAAGGAGCGCACGCGCAACATTGTCAAGTTTGACCTCCGCACACGCATCAAGAGTGGTGAGGCCATCATTGCCAGTGCCAACTACCATGACACCTCTCCCTACCGATGGGGAGGTAAATCTGACATTGACCTCGCAGTGGATGAGAATGGGCTCTGGGTCATTTATGCCACAGAACAGAACAATGGAAAGATAGTCATCAGCCAACTGAACCCATACACTCTGCGGATTGAGGGAACCTGGGACACAGCTTATGATAAAAGGTCTGCCTCTAATGCATTCATGATCTGTGGTATTCTGTATGTGGTTAAGTCTGTCTATGAAGATGATGACAATGAAGCCACTGGAAATAAGATTGACTACATCTACAATACTGAGCTCAGCAAAGATGGATACCTCGATATACCCTTTCCCAACTCATACCAGTATATTGCAGCAGTGGATTACAATCCAAGAGACAACTTGCTCTATGTCTGGAACAACTACCATGTGGTGAAATACTCGCTGGATTTTGGAGCACTGGACAACAGACCAGGTATGTACAGTTGATATGTTTGCATGCATATACTGTAGAGGTGGAGGAGCTTAGTTAGTGGGTTACTGCATTTCTAAATTAATTCTACAGGAGCTAAATGGAATTTAAGATTATTATAAGGTATGATTGAAAGCTTGCATCCATGCCTTAAATGTCCCAGAAGTACATAGCAGGTCATAAAAGCTTTAAAAAAGTCTCCTATGTATATCAGATCAAGGCAGTGGCATGAATGAATCATGTAAACATTTCTTGAGGACAGGAAATGTGAGAACTTTATATTTGTGATATTTTCTAGCACAGTATCATTATGTTCAACTGTCAATTGAAAGACTTGGGATAATAATATAGTGCAATGGAGAAGGGAACATCTTGTTCATCTTTAAAAAAAAAAACTCCTCTGCAACAGTATTAAGGATCTTCAAGAAATATGAACATTCTAATAATCATGTCACTAGAAGTGTCTCAAGTCTTTAATGGAAATGACAGCCATATTTTTTACACTTATTAAATATCTGTTCTGAAATGTTGTCATATTTTTACACTCGCATTTCTGATTAGACATATGTCTCCGTGAACAACTTACATAAAGATTCTTAGGTTTGCAATTGTGCACTTCAGTGGTGATTTATAAATCTTTATTCTTTCAACTCTATTTTTTGTTGTACTTTTTTAGTAAGCTATCATTGTTTATACATTTCCACTTTTTTTAGTATCTTTTGGGGATGTAGGGTACATCTAAGGCTAATAACAGGACATACATATACAATAAAATTATCATTTTATTATAGTGGGGTGTCAAAGGAAGCACATATTAATTGAGGCTTTTTTTCTTTTCCTTGGAAAATAAATATATTTCGAGTACATGATACTATACATAAGTTCATTCAGGTGTAAGTTGTGCTTTCAGAGTTTGGTTGTCTGCTGCAGTTACTGTATACACTGTCTTTGTGTTTATCCTAAAACTGTGTCAATTAGAAGATCTTTTTTGTTATGCAGTTTGAATCTGTCTTTTACAGTCTGGTTTTCTGTATTGACCCTTATAATTAACCGGGGTAAAAGACATCTCGTGTAAAGGGATAGCATCTTTCCTG